AAAAAGAAAATTACTACTTTTTATAAGTTCATGAAATTAGATTAAACAATGTGGTTGACGTTTACACAAATAAGCAGAAATGTAATCATGCTTTTCTTTCTAATAACACAAATGAAAAGCCTTCTGTAGGTGAGCAGATTTGTCCAATGAAACCATTCTTTTCCACTGCTACGGCAAACTAAAGAGAAAATTTTCTAATTACACTGCTAAATATGACTAGTTTTAGCTAAAAATAGTCCATCAATGGTGTTAGCTAGTGCAGTCTATCGTATACACAAGTCCACTATTGGTCATATCGGATATGCCCAAATTAATTTCTTTTGTAGAATTTAATTGTAAGTGAAATGATACTCATGTTGAAATGTCCTCGGTATAGTATTTGTTCAGTCTACAGGTCCTCTAACACAGTCTTAACTGTCTGAATTTGTGTGACTAATCTTGTGACTTGAAATTAGTGATTTGAAGATATCAAGCCGATTCATTAAGTCGATCTCTAGTACAGGTTTATTTATGATTTGTCCCGTCTCCCCTTTTCCCTTCTCAAAACCTCTTTCTTCTCCAACTCTGAGGTAGAACTCAACCTGGGGAGCTATGGATACTTGGGCAAACTGCCACCGAGATGCACGTTGGAAAAAGTTATCTAGCAGCTTTTCAAATGACCAATTTTCCAATTCCTTTCTATCACTCTCTGCCAATTAACGTAGGGAGATTCTCCCTGGACTTCTGTTAAATTTAATATATGCATTATTCGCGTCAAGAATGCGTTTTTTTCCCTTCTTGGTTAACGGCTGTCTTGTTTCTCTGCTGTCAAAATAGAATTATTCCTTCCAAAAGTGATTATGAACTCCCTGTGTTTCTTGAAGCAGCGCAACTAACTCTGCTTCCATTCAGCCCTTTATTCCTAATTAACAAGCTTCTTTAACTGAAGGCGTATGTACTCTTGTATTTGAAAAGACAATGTTTTTTTTCTGGACAGTGTGTAACAGGACCAAGGCTACCGAAGATCCATAACGTAACTCAAATACTAACACTACAAAAGTATGATGTATACATAAATGTTAATTCCGCTACCAAAGGTACAAGATTAAATCATATGTAACACTTGTCCTAAAAGCCAAAAAAAAAAAAACCATATCTTGCTCTCGGTGTAAATGAAGAGTGAATTAGATATGTAACACTCAGTCTAGGTAACAAAATGTGAGTGTTGGCAAAATATGTAATAACCAAACTCAGTTAACGAAATCACAGCAGATCATGCATTTTCCAATAAAGGTTGTGTTTCCCCAGCTGGATCACACAGCCTACAAGAGGGTAAATGACCAAAAAACCTACACCTCCTATTTCTAGGAATATTTTTTATATATTACAGGCCTAGAGGTCCACAATGATTTTCACAATGAGCAATCACGAGGATGTCCAAAGTATTTACAGTGCCAAGTTCCTGGCTGCTCCAGGATTCCTTTTTATTATTCAGAGTAATTATGTTATCACTGTAAACGGTACAAATGATACAGTCCTCAGAACCAGAATAAACCTTCAAAGCAGAAGTCTGTGTTACCCTTCTCACTTTGAGGATCACACACACACACACACACACACACACACACACACACACACACACACACACACACACACACACACACACACACACACACACACACACACACACACACACACGCACACACACACAGTCCGCACGCAGATAGGAGCACACACACACACACACACACACGCACACTGAGGCTTCCACACACACTTGTCTCTAAAACTAATTTACATTTACATTTACATTTACATTTATTCATTTAGCAGACGCTTTTATCCAAAGCGACTTACAAATAAGCAAAGCGATATATCAAGCAGGGAACAATACAAGTAGTGCTACTATACAAGATTCATTAATTGAATACCAGAGGAAGCAAAGTGTACAGAGTAGAGGTGTAAGTGCAAGTCTGTGGTGTTTTTTTTTTTTTTTAGGAGATGGTTAGGTGTTCACGGAAAAGGTGGGTCTTTAGCTGTTTTTTGAAGATAGTGAGAGACTCTGCAGTCCGGATTGAGATCGGAAGAGCATTCCACCACTGGGGAACGGTATGTGTGAAGGTTCTGGAAAGGAATTTTCAGAGCTTATCAAACATACATGTCTCCTTATGTATGGAGCTCATATTCATACACTGCTCAATGTAACATTCACACTTGTCTCCGAAACTAGTTTTCAGAGCTCATCAAGTACACATCTCCTTATTTTATGGAGCTCATATACACACTTTATCCATCCATCCATCCATCTTCAACCGCTTATTCCTGCTTCAGGGTCGCGGGGAACCTGGAGCCTATCCCAGGAAGCATCGGGCACAAGGCGGGGTACACCCTGGACAGGGTGCCAGTCCATCGCAGGGCACAACTTTATTCTAGTAATAATAGAGTGATATCTTCCTAATGTAAGGTTCCCGGAATGTTGTCCCTCACTCAGGTGGAATCTCGCTTGGCATGGACACCCTGAACTCCTTTCCAGCACTCACTAACCGGGGAGAGTCTAACAATCATACACCGCCACAGCACCGAACCCCACGACACCACAATCCTTACCACAAGAGAGCGTCACTCAAAAATGAGGAGATCGGACACGCTGACTCAACAGAATTGGAGCGTTTTCCTGCTCGGATCTATGTGGAGTTTTACGATACCACGGTTCGGTGTCAATTGATACAGACACGCCCACGGAGAGCCGTGGATGGATCAGAGTCACGTGACCAGCCAGCCAGAAACTCACTCAAGAAAAGATAAACACCGTACAACCCCCAAACTAGGATCAATCACTTCAACAAAATAATAATGAAGTAAATTAACTGAAAATAAAAACAAGAGTCGACTCCACAAAAGAAAAAAGAAAAACAAAAAATGCTTAAATCACATTCAGCACTTATAGAACTCTCACACATCCATCCGCCTGTTATAACGGCATTCAGCACTCATACCCAACATTCACCAGATATAATGAACATATAGCTGAGGCAATCAACATTCAGCACATGGAACATATAGTCAATACAAGACTCACACCCCAGAACATTTAAACATTGACAGACCAGACAAACACCCGTTTCCCGCTTCACCACGCCTCTTGCGTGACCCCACCTGGGGTTATTGGGCCCAATGCGTTCACCCCACTTATGAACGTCTTATCACTAAGTTCTCCCTAGAACGTTTACACAGTTCACCTCACTTATGAACTTCTTATACATACTAAGTTCTCCCTAGAACGTTTAAATATTACGTTCTCCCTAGAACATTCACACAGTTCACCTCACTTATGAACTTCATTAAATGCTAAGTTCTCCCTAGAACTTTTAAATACTACGTTCTCCCTAGAATGTTTACACAGTTCAGTATTACTTCTAAGAAGCTTCACAACACATAACATACATCTGACCCTCTCGGCCCAGCGCACAGGGTGAGTTATACTACGCTGTCTAGGAACCTTCAACTAGTACAGCAGATCCGCCCACTCACTGTAGATCACTGTTAGGCCTTGAGTGTCAGTTCCTTATTCCTCAGTATTCTATCTGAGTCCATTTTTCACATAGACAATACAGGCTTGCAGACACACTGCTCAAGACAAAACACTACAACAGACACACACATACATATATATTGCATGCAGCTTTGATTGTTTGAGATCTAAAAAACACTCTTTTCTAAATTTTGTTCATAATTTACAGGAGCTTTTGTGAGGGGAAAACGCCGTCTCAGGCTGACCCATAGGAAAACCACGCAAGAATTTATCCAAAAAAGCAGAAAACTGCTTACCTTTTTTTTTTTTTTTTAAGTGGCCACGCTTGCGCAGCTTCTCCAGGGTCAGCCCCGTCGGAGAGTCTCCCTCTTTGCTCCTAGACAAATCACGTCGGGGTCACCAATTTGTTGTGGATAAAATCAACCTTTCTAGCCTAAGTCAAAAACTTCAAAGACAGAGAGTTTAGTAGATGTCAAAAGTAATCAACTTTATTGGAAACCAACAAAGTGTGACTGTCTGCAGAGAGTCCAACTTGTACATACATGAACATGTCTTTATATACTTCCCAAAAACAGTAAACATAATTCCTAGGTGTGGCATTCAACGTTTCTTTTTAGAACTGACCAATCTCCACTGCTTTAACTAATTATTCATGTCCATAGGATACCTTATCTTTGTGGCGCATGCGCAGCCAGTTGTATATTCTTTCAAAGTTTTACCAGACACGGGTTTGTTTACCCTGACACATCCTATAGCCGCATCTTGGTACCTTTCTGTTGATACTTATCTTTTCTTTTGTCACTGATTTACAATCTTAAGAGGCTCTGTTTTAGAAAGCCAGTTCTGAAATATGTCCAAATTACTACCATAAAGTGAAGTTGCATTTAGATAAACACAAGCTCTGGTTTTACCACCACAGAGTAAGTCTGCTTTAGACAAAACCCAAAACCTCTAATTTACACATTTAGATGTGAAACTGAGTTTAAACAAACACAGGTTCACACTTTACACACTTAGAAGACGACCTGTTGGAAATATCTTATAGTTTTAGATTTGCCACAGAAAGTAATTAGGCCCACTGTTTAGTAAGACACAGAATTCTTCTAACTCAATCTACACTCAGAATATTACTTGATAAACCATTATTCTATGGAGTTAGATTATGCTTCTATCTATTGATTATACATATAGATTATGCTTTTTAACCCATACACCTTATTTGATTATGCTTTAAGGAGTAATTTTAAATGCAGGTTGCATATTGAATACACTTCATTAACATATAGAAAATAGCTAGTACTTGTAATCAATGTGTATAACTCACTTCTGTATATAAGTCCACACACAGTTAAAACTTTGTCACACAATGGTTGTAGCAATTAAGTTATTCTGATGTATTTTATTGTAGTGTTTTATTGTTGCTGTTATTTATGTATTTTTTTTGTCTTTGTTTTTAAAATGGGAAATGATTAAGGGAAAAAAAGACTGCCGTCCCTGGGTGGGCTCGAAACAATAAACTTTCGGTCAACAGCCGAACGCGCTAACCGACTGCGCCACAGAGACTTGCTTGTATAAATGATCAACACCAAGTCCTTTTGAAAGACGCCCTTAGTACACATAGTTCTGTTTTTGCTGCAGAAAGATGGTCGGGAACTGGGAAAGGGCTCACACATCTTCATCTCGTATGATACAGTCTCCTCCAAAAGTATTGGAACAGCAAGGGCAATTCAATTTTTTTCTCTATATGTGTTTAAAATCAGAAGATGAATATGAGACAGATCAGAATTTCAGCTTTGATTTCCACATACGTACGTCTAGATGTGTTAAATACCTTGGAGCATGACACTTTTTATTTGCATCCATCCATTTTTCCCCCTCAAGTGATCAAAAATATTGGAACATGTGACTGGTTGGTGTTTCTTGGTGCTCAGGTGTGCCCTGTTAAATTAATTGTTTAAAGAATTAATAGTGCTGAATGTCTACTCTTTCTTGCCATATGTTTCACTTTTGAAAACTTCATTTGTTGTTAAAAAAGGGGTAAACCAACATGAAGACCCGAGAGCTCATTATGGGAGAAAAGCAAGCCATTTGGAAACTGAGGAAAGAGGGAAAATCTGTCAGAGCCATTGCACAAACATTGAGCATAGCCAATACAACAATTTGGAATGTCCCGAATATGTAATCAACCACTGGTGTTCTAACAACCAGACATGGAACAGGTTGGCAAATGAAGACAACAGCTGATGAGAGAAACACTGTGAGAGTTGTGACATCACCAATAACATCGACATGGCAGGGGTGAAGGTATCACAACCCACCAGAAGTGCAGAAATATAAAGGCCTTTCCACAAGATGCAAACCACTTGTCATTAAGAATCGTAAAAGCCAGATTGGAATTCGCAAACAAAATCCAGAGATGAATGCACTTATATAGCACTTTTCACTGTGTCTCATTCACCAATCTTCACACACACCAATTCAAGGTGCTAACTTGCCATCAGGAGCAACTTGGGGTTCAGTGTCCTGCCCACACTTCAGCAAGTGAAGTCATGCAGGCCAGGAATCAAAACACCAACCCTACAGTTAGCAGGCAACCCACTCTACCACCGGAGAGGAAACCCCGGAGCAACACCACCCGGACTCACTCGTTATTATCAGAGATCCTCACCTGTGAACTTCTAAATAACAGACAGCGCATTTCAAGCCCCACCAGGTGATGACTCTTTCTGTTGGAAATCAACAACTCGCTGACGACCTACCTATTTCTGCTGCAGATTTGAAAAGCACACTCACACCCCTCACCCGCTCTGACCTTCTCGCCACACAACTGCTAACACCTCCCCTCTCCTGTTATAGGCCCAGACAGTGTCTCACCCACCTGTTTGAAAGTCTGCACTGAACAGCTGTCACCCATCTTCACCCAGATCTTCAACAGATCACTGGAGCAGTCTACAGGCACTTCCTTCTTCAAACGCTCCACCATCATCCCCGTCCCAAAGAAACCCAAGATCACAGGACTGAATGACCACAGACCTTTTTCTTTGATGTCTGTGGTCATGAAATCATTTGAGAGACTGGTGTTGGACCACCTGACGGACATCACTGGACCTTTACTGGACCATGTCAGTGGATGATGCAGTCAACATACATCAATGTTAACTGCATCAAAATCAACACAAGAATGGTTTACTGACCACAAAATCGAGGTCCTGCCATGGTCATCCCAGTCCCCTCACTTGAACCCCATAGAAAACATGTGGGGTGAACTGATCAGGAGACTCCACCAGCATGGACCCTGAAATTTTGAAGGATCTGGAGAGATTCTGTACGGAGGAACGGTCTCAGATCCCTTGCCATGTATTCTCCAACCTCATCAGGCATTATAGGAGAAGACTCAGAGCTGCTATCTTGGCAAAGGGAGCTAGCACAAAGTATTGACTAAAAGGGTGCCAATAATTGTTGCACACCTATATTTAACAAATATCTTGTTTTTGATAAACCTATGTTGTGTTTGCAATTGTTTGATATCCATGAGAGCGAGTATTTTTGTGAAATTGTTTAAACAAAAGATCAAAAGGTTCAACAATAAAGACAATTTTTCACAGCTCATATTTACCAAGGGTGCCAATATCAATGCAGGTCACTGTGTCTGTCCTGCTGTCATGTTTGTGTATGCACCAGAAGCTTCACTTATTGTTCACATGGCAATAAAGCTCGTTCTGATTCTGATACACGATTAAAATTCTATACACGATTAAAATCACACATCAGTTTCAAACATCCTTTTAATATTTATTTCACATTATCATGCATCAAGTCTTAAGCTACGAACATTTTTGAAATTAGCCATTGTTATATTAACCCAGATCACATTCACACACCTCTCTCACTTCACAAGGCTCAGAGCAGCTAACAATGTTCCCCCCAAAAACTGAATAGAATCATTTCCTGTGAACACAAAAGAGCAGCGAAGCAGCACAGAGTCAGCTCTGCTACTGAAGATGACAACGCAGGCAGGATATCAAACCAGCATTTCATCATTCACCTCTTTAGAAATACAGAAATTACAGAAATGATGGGAAACAAGCAAAAATGGATGCTGGAGAATAATTGTAAGAACAAAAAAAAATCTGTATTTTTAATACAATTTAAAATATATAAAATATATTTACAGTTTGGCTGTGTGAGGATTCGTGTTAGTGCCTGTGATGACCAGCAGGGGGAGACCTCACTAAGTGGTATCTCCTCCTGATGACCTCAAGAGTCGTTGACAAGAAACCTTACAACTTATCATTTTAATATATATATTGTAAGAAAATTGAGTGTGTAATGATCTACTACAAAAAAGGTACAAAATTGATATTAGAATCAATTGTTTAAGAAAAAAGTGTATTTTTCTGAATCATAAAAAGGAGGTAGTAACTTTCCCATATGTATTTAAAAAAAAAATTCCTGGCCATGTTTGTTGTCTTGGTGACGCTGAGAGCAGAACTTCCCTGGGCATTATGGGATGGCAGGGCGGACTTTCCTACAGTAGTTGTAATCCCTTTCAGACTGCTTACAAATTCCTCAGATTTCACAAATTCAAAAACTGTGATTTTACTTCTGATGATTGAATGGAGATTAATCTTTGTTGTATTTTTGCACTTGGTTGGCTCCCTGATCTCTGGAAATCAAACAAGTCTTTAATTTAAACTCTTGTCATCGTTTTGCATTGAATTTGTGTGTTTTGTTTGTTTTCGCTTTTAAATTAGTTGTAGCTTGCACAGTTCTATAAGCCAGAAATGCAGTCGTTATTGAGATCATGAGTGGGTGTCTGTATTTGCGGAAGCTTGCACATGCACTGCTAAAAAAAATAATAATAATGACATTTTTTTTGTAAAAAATAAGACTTCTTAACTGTTACAGTCAGGTCTAAACGTTTGAGTGAACTACACAGTGGCAGAAGGAATAATATAAAGTGGAGACAAATCTACTTCCGTTACAGATGTTTTTAATTAGTGGAAATTTTGAGCTGTTGAATTGATAGAATTTTGAAACGCTGTAATTATTAGCACACTCAGACTTTAGGACCTGACTGCATTCAGATTATTAATCGTTATTGCTGTGTGAATGTGAACTCAATAACTGCGTAGTTTTCTGGCAGGTTTAGTGGAAGTACGACTGCAGCATTCCTCTGCGTCGGACGTCTGTGGTCCAGCAGTGGAACCCTCCGCCCAGGGAGTTAGCATGACGGATGCTCACTTTAATCGTCTTTATACCTGTTAGAAAAACACACGTAAATATGCACTGGTACAACATCTATACAAATGATCTCCTAAAAGCTCCCACTTGAATTTTGTATAGTGGTTTACATAAATATTACAATGTGGAAATGAAATGAAATGGCAGTGTGCTTATGAATTATTTCCCAGAGTAATTTTTCTCTCCATCTTGCCTTCAACTCTAGCCAGTTTCCCAGTCCCTGCTGATGAAAGGAATTTACACAACATGATGCTACAACCACCATGTTTCACAGTGGGAACAGTCTTCTCAGACTGATTAGCAGTGTTGGGTTTTGTGAGAAGTCCAAAATGTCTGAGTCTCCAATATGTATTTTGGTAAACTTCAAATGGCATTTCAAACGAGTTGCCACTCTTCCACAAAGTGCTGTGTGGAATGTTCAGGCTGTGGTTGTCCTGTGTGTTTGTCCTATCTTCAGTTCCTTCAGAGTTCTCCTTGTCCAGTTCAGACTGGGGAACCTCACTCAAGATCTAGTACGGTAAAGTGTGCTGTGTCGATCAGTAAAAAGGATTTTTATGATACTTACCAAGATTTTCAAACATTTTTTGAATGGTAGTCTCCGTTAGCATCCACCATGACACGTTTCTCGTCCAGCATCAGGACGTTCATGGACAACCACTTGGAGGACATCCAGAGTGGGTGATCTGAGACAAATCGAATTGTGACAGCATACATGTTTATGCTTTATTGTTATCTGAACTTTTACATGATGAGTCTATCTATTTTTTGTTTGAGATTTAATGCTCTTAATGTCTGATAACTTCAACAGGAATTTTATTCTCAGACTTTCGGACTGGAAGGTATGTGGTTTTCACTACCATGTGCATGTGAAACTCACCATCAGGAATTAAAGGTGTTGGTGGACCCCCCGGTCCATCCAGCCTTCTTAAACATCTCAATCTGCACAAGGACACCAGACACTTGACATCAGACATTAATGGTAACTATAGAGCACTTCCAATTGTATCACCACAGTTTGCTATTGGCCTAGGTCCTGGCCACCTTCATTTGTTTGCTGTGTTCCAGTTCCTTTATTCTTCATTTCCTTTTTCCTAGTTTATAGTTTCTTTGTTCCTAGTCTTCACATTTGTAGGGTAGAAGTTTTATTTATTTTTTTGTTTGTTTCCCTGTTCCCAACTTTCTTGTTTCTTCTCATTTCTTTTGATCTTTTCTAAGATTCCACTTGCTTGTGTTTTATGCCATGTAGAAACACGTCACCTCTCACTCTGAGGTATCAAGTAGCTCACCTGAATTAGGGGGTAGATCTTACCTGTTGCTAA